GATGTGCGCCTGTTAATTTGGAAAGCTCTTTAAAAAGTTAACACTCGAATTGCCTGCCTCTATCTGTAGTTATTTTTAGAGGGCAACCAAATCCTGATATCCAACCTCTGACGAATGTGTTGGCTACAGTTTCAGCTTTTATGTCTATGACTTAAAATTAAAGTCTTAACACTGTCCTTACACTCGCGCGTGCCGGGTCACCAAATTTATCTAGCAGATGGTGAATTAAACCATACATATACAGTTAATAGTTTATTACAATATACACAAGAGTAGAAGGAACACGAAGTAAGAGAATAGTCAAGACACATTTAATTAGCGAGAAGTACGAAACTATAAAGGTTATAGAACAGTCAGATATTGAAAGACACATAAAACAATTAAGGGTGAACAATAAACGGGGTGCAAGACGGGCAGCATCTCGGCGTTGCGTAGCTAGACCGAATGGTGAGCTGGAGAAAACCGAGTGCTCTTGGAGCTGCGTTCGCGCCGCCGACTGTTTACGAGAACGCCCAAGGTGGAGCGCGTCATTTCTCCACACGTATATCCGCTCGATAAAATAAAACGATGTGTCTTACATAGTTTGAAGAGCACTTCCTGTCCTCTCTCAATTGCGTGCACTATCCCAGTCACTACTAACTCCCCACACCATTAGACTGGGGAAGACACTGCACTGACGACAATTCGACAAGTGTTTCGCCTCTACACTAGGCATCTTCAGGTGATGTAAACTCTGCGGTGGCTGACCGCTAAATGAGCGGCGAGCCAAAACAAAGCTATTTATATAGCCCGCTGAAGAAACCGCTCCCTAATTAAGTAGCGAGCGACTACGTCATGCGATAAAACATGCGACCAATCACGACCTGACGTACGCAGCCGCTTGTAAAATTAAAAACAAACCGCCCCGTAACGTCCCCCTACCTTTTTTTATACGGGGGGAAATCCTCATGGACTACCTCCGCCTGGGGAAAGGCGGAGGGGCGTGCCGGACTCTTACCGGCTAAAACCACCCCGGTGTCTCCTCACACGTGCGCGTGGGGCCGCGGGAATCCAAATTCTTCCGCAACCCCACACTAGTGCTGGCCCGGTCCGTCCAGGCCTCGTCTCCTGCACGGGGTAGTGAGGTGTTAAACTACCCCGTGTATCGCCTCAGGGGCGCGCGCCGGCCAGGACGCAAGCCGCCTCGTAGGAAATCGTGCGATACCCGCGGGCGACTCTGACGGCCATCGCCCTCTGCGGTTTACGCAGAATGGCGAGAGTGCTGGCCGTCATGTCCATCGCCCACACAGGGGCCCCATACAGGGCCATGGACCGCACGATTCCCACGTACAACCGCCTACAGGCGGCGCTCGGGCCCCCCAAGTTGGGAAGCGACTTTGATAGCGCGCCCGCTGCACCCATCAGCTTGGGCGCCAGCCGCCGGAAGTGGGGTCCGAATTCCCATCGGCTGTCGAGCACCAATCCCAGATACTTCATGGTGGACTCGACAGCTATCCGGGCCCCGCTGACCACGATGTGTGAACCCGGCGGCGGCGCGCGTCGAGGGCCATGGAACACCATGGCCTCCGACTTATTTAGGGCCACCTCCAGGCCCAGGCCCCGGATGCGGTTCACCACTTGTGACACCGCAGCCGTGGCAACCAACGCTGCTTCCCTGTGTGAACTCCCCCGGGCAGTGACGAGCGTGTCGTCCGCATAACACGTCAAGTCGGCACCCGACGGGAGTTCACCTCTCAGCACCCAGTCGTAGCCGATGTTCCACAGGAGCGGTCCCAAGACCGATCCCTGCGGAACACCGCACGACATGACGCGCCAACCAGCGCCGTCACGTCCCCAATAGGTAACGCATCTCTCCTCAAGGTAAGCCCCTATTGTGCGGCGGAGGTAACGTCCCCCTACCTAACCTAACCACGCAACCAGTTGCCGATCACCGTGAGGACGACAAACTAACATATTGCGAGGCTGTCTGGTTTTAGAGAGCAGGCTTAAAGATATTTAAAAGAGGTGAGTTAGGACCATTTTTTTGCACACTCAGCAGTGCAACGTTAACCAGAACAAGCAGTTGGAGCCCTTTATTACACGTATGTAAAACTTTAAAGGAGTGGTCGTTGGCTAGATTGTCTCCAGTGTCCAAAAGATGTTTAGCAAAATGACATTTAACGGGATTGCAATTCCTGTACGGGGCTAATGCTCTTTATAACATGTTTTGAAGTTGCGACCAGTCTGGCCCACGTAAACGGCGTGGCATTCGTCACGTTTGTAAACGCCAACATATATTCCTAAGAGAATTGTTTGTTTTGAACGCCACATAAACGCCGCTTTATCAGAAAGTATTAACTACTTTTTCAGATATGGGGGCTAAGTAGGTCAAACTGTTCACATATCGATGAACACCTTGTGTTTGAACCGCGTACGGAGAGTTGCGAACAACATGCTTTTGTTTCTTTTTAATTACATTTTTATAGAGATATTTTGAAAAACAATTATAGATAGCTATTTGATAAATTACATTAAGCTTTTCAAATAATTTTCTTTACTTTAGTGGGACAGTGAATAAACGATTAATAGAACAATAAAAAACGGTTAATTTAAGTGCCATGGATGACACGATGACGCAAGGATGACCGTGTCGGTGTGAGTTGGCTTTCGATAAATTTGGAAAACATGTGACGATTCTTTTCTTGTTATTGTTAAGTCGAGGAAATTAAGGGAACAATCTTGTTCCAATTCAAGTTTGAATTTAACAATTTAACGGTTATTAAACCGGAAATAGCTTTGTTTCATACAGAGGAGGTTGAAGATCATTTGTTTCCCCGGGATGTAGACGATGTTCATCAAAGAGATCTGCGAGTATCAACGTCAAAGGATAACAATATGGATTTAGGAGGATCCGGATTTTTCTCAGAGGAGGAAGTTTAATTTTTTTAGCAAGGAAATAAGCTGGTGCACTTTATATATGAGACAACTGGACGAATAGGAACATGTTCTTTATTTATTTTAGGTAAATTATATTAAAAAAAAAAAACTAAAATACAAGCTTATTTACTTGCTGAAAAAATAAACTACCTTCTTCGAGAGAAATCTGGATTAAACTCCATTTAAAGCCTAAAAAATAGTTATAATTTTATTAAAAATTCATGGACACACTAATCAGTTACAAATTACAACAGGCGAACCAAGAGCATTATTGTCTAAAGCAATGTTATTCAGGCTACCCTGAAGAATAGCCTAATGCACCCGTATCATCATCATTAGAGACTTTCATAAGTCCACTGCTGAACATAGGCCTCCCCCAAGGAACGCCACAAAGCACGGTCCTGAGCCACCTACATCCATCGACTTCCTGCATGTCTTACCAGGTCGTCACTACATATCGTGGAGGGTTGCCCTGCACTTCGCCTACCGGTACGAGGCTGCCACTGGAGAACCTTTCTTCCCCATCGGTTGTCGGTTCTTCGAGCTATATGGCCGGCCCACTGCCACTTCAGCTTACTAATCCGTTGTCGGTTACTCTGGTTCTACTACGGATATTCTCATTTCTAAGTTTATCATGCAGAGAAAGCCCGAGCATAGCCCTCTCCATAGCTCGCTGAGCGACCTTGAGCTTCCTCATATGGTCAGCAGTGAAGAACCACGTCTCAGTTGCGTAAGTCATCACTGGCAACACGCACTGGTTGTACAATTTCGTTTTTAGGTTTTGAGGTATGTCTAACGAGAAGATGTGTCGTAGTTTCCCGAAAGCTGCCCAGCCGAGTTGAAGCCGTCGATTGACCTCTCAGTCGAAGTTGGACTTACCTAGTCGGACTATTTGTCCCAGGTAAACATACTCGTCAACAACTTCGAGCTTAGTGCTCCCAACAACTACCGGCATAGGTGTGACATGGACATTAAACATGATCTTTGTTTTGTCCATGTTCATCTTAAGACCTATCCGTTGGGAAACACTATTAAGGCCATTGAGTATAGTGCTTAGGTCCTCCAGCGATTCTGCCATAAGGACTATATCGTCGGCAAATCGAAGGTGAGTGATGTACTCGCCATTGATGTTAATACCGCATCATTTCCAGTCCAGTAGCTTGAAAACGTCTTCCAATGCAGCGGTGAAGAGTTTCGGGGATATAACGTTACCCTGTCTTACACCTCTCTGCAGTTGGATAGGTTTCGTATTCTGATTCTGTACTCGGATAGCCATCGTAGCTCTACTGTACAAGCACTTCAGCAATTCGATATACCGAAAGTCAACTTGGCACAGCTGAAGGGACTGCAGCACCGCCCAAATTTCAACGGAATCAAAGGCTTTCTCATAGTCCACATACGCAAGGCAAAGTGGCAGATTATACTCCTCTGTCTTCTGTACAATTTGCCGAAGGGTGTGTATGTGGTCTATGGTACTAACACCTATGCACCCGTATACAAGTATTAAATAAAAATATTCTCCAGATAAAATTTCTGCCACAGTGGCCTGTCCCAACGAGGACCATCCATTATTGTCTATTGCAATGTGATTCAGGGTAGCCTCTCCACAGAATAATCTACTTTACTCGTTTATAAGAATTAAATAATAATGTCCTCCAGACCAAATTTATGGCCACGGCGACCAGTCTCAACGGAGACCAGCCATCTGCGCAGGACAAGATTATAGTGCACGGGTGTGTGCGACGAAATAGGTGCACTATCTATTTCGTCAGTCTCACAGTCCGATGGGACGGAAATTCGACACTTTCCTGAATGAGATCAGATCCAAGACTAACGGCTTACGTGCTTTCCGTGGCACGGGGGTAAAACACCGCCAAATTCTTGACTCCAGACTGTTACTGAGAATTTCCCGACAGAAATACCCAATCACTGATTTTGGCCCGACCAGGGATTCGACCCGGTACCTCTCGATCAGCACCACGACGGACGGACGAGATTTACAATTCTCCCGCTACTTCTTTGTTTTTCTTTTATGTTCCTACCTTATTTTTATTACCCTGATTTAATTTTAGTTTTCTTTTCAGTCAACTTACCAGTATTTGTATATGGTGCCAGCATTGGCTGGATGTCGCCTATGACTCTGCTTTTGCAATCCAAAGACTCACCTAAGGGAGTTCCCCTGACAGATACAGAGGTATGCATAAAGACATTGTAAGTATTACAAAAACAGTGGTAGAGCCATGCTGCAGGTTTATTACTAGTATTTGTAGCACAAATAGGTCGGTTTGACTGTGGAAGGACTACTCTTTCACAGAATACCAGCATAAAATAGCAGCTTAACGCTGCTGTATTTAACGCTCCATAGACTGCCACAAAGCACAGTCTTGAGTCACGTGCATGCCTTAACAACCTTCAAAGTTTATGATTTCTTAAATTTAGGCGAATTTCGAATGCGATTAAAGAAAAAAATAATTTTACCTATTGCATACCGTAAACGCAAAGCGGGTAGGCATGTTCTACTATGGCCTATAAATCAAGATTCTAACGTTTTGTCGCATAAAAGACGTATCTAACAATCATATTGAAATATTAAATGATATAAAAAGCACATTGTCAAAAAGATAAATTATTGTTGCACTTATTAATGTTTTTTTTTAATCGATTAATTGCTATTTTTACATAAAAAAGTGGTTTTACTGGCTTATGGTGTAAATTTATCAAGTCCGCACGGAGTAGTAAACACGATAACTTTTTAAAATATCAATTTTTTAACTCAGTCTATTTTTAATCTCTTCATCTATCACGTGGAAACCCTAGTAGTAAAAGTATAATTAATTTTTTTCCTCGTAGCAATCCGGAAATTTTCGGCGTTTTACTAAAACTGCCTTGTTATAATTTATTTTACTAAGTAGACTGCCTCTCTCACTCACTTCGGCGTCAATCGCCGTCTTGAGATCGCTGTACAAATACAAAATATTCGAAAAACCAAATTTCATACATACTTGATTATTATAATAATCAGAGATTTTTATTACAATATTTTAAAAGCACAGAATAACTAATAGTAGTACGTACTAAAACTAAGTAGGATGTATAAATTTAAGTATATTTAGGTATATTTAAATAAGTCTTGGACTTTAAAGAGTGACCTGAATGATAATATAATGATCATATCAGCATTATGAATCGTGCACTTTTGGATTTTCCAAACTTTTTTAAAATTGAAGTTTGACATAAAATTATTGAAAAATTGGAAATATAATAATAAGTGGTAACGCCAGGTAACAATCTAATTTATAAATCTAATAGAATACTTGGGAGTTATTATTGAATACCTTGTGTGTATTCCCTTGCGGGATTCAAACACGCGGCCCTTAGTGCTGCAACTAAATTGCTAAGCCACTGCGCCGTGGAGCCGTGAATAATAATCATTATTTATATATTTGATATTCATACTACGCGCTGACCCGTGCAGATGGGACACGGTATCACACGACCACAGCTGACCGCCAGTGTTGCCAACGAGGGGATTTTCCGCCAATTAGGCTACTGGAGATGGAAATCGGCTACGATAAATTCTGAAAGGCGACTGGTCGCCAAATAGGCTACTTGAGAGATGAATGATCGACCGTTAATTAGACTGAATCACAACAGAACTCAATATAAGCGTAAAAAATACCTCCTATGCAAAATTTACAAAGCAAAATAAAAAAATCTGGCAACACTGTTCGGGGAGTAGCCCGAAGCTAAAGATCACTCTCACTGTCGCAGACGTGCGCGAGAGAGACGGCTAGATCCGAATACACGGACAAAGCGTTAGGGAGTAGGGCTTCTAACTTAGCCTGTTGCATGTATTAAGTAACCTGGTAGAAATATGTACGTTTCCAGTTCTAGCGAAGCTTACGACAGCATCAGCACAGCAGAGGCTAGAGAAAATTATGACGGTGAAAGTCTTGCTGATGCTTTGTTGCTGCTGGCAGCAGATGATCATTGCTGATTTTTTTTTAAATTTGATACTCTATGTACATGTTATAAATAACTAATTGTTGAAAATTACGTTTTTATTTATTCATAGCGAATATTTGACGTTTGGGCTACTTTAGGCTACCTCAGCTCAAATTCGGCTATATTAGGCTAATAAATCTGTGAAAAATGGCGATATCAGGTTCCAAGTTGTTGGCATTACTGCTGACCGCCACATCAAGACCACTTTCAATTGGGCCACTGACGACTACGCGCGCTATTACTCTCTAGTCCTCTTCCATTTCAGATTTTGTACAATTTTCACTTAGGTCTTTTATTTATAAAGATCGCCAACATTTGAACTTAAGTTTAAATTTTTTTCATTTATATGTTTATACAAACGTTTATAAGATAATAATAATATTTTTTTAAATTCTACACATATTTAATATTATTAGTGTGTATGTGTGTGTGTGTGTGTGTGTGTGTGTGTGTGTGTGTGTGTGTGTGTGTATGTGTGTGTGTGTGAGTGTGTGTGTAAGCGCGCGTGCGTTCGTGTGTGAGTGCTTTTGCGGGCCTGCTTGCGTGCGTAAGTGCATACGTGAGTGCGAGAGTGCGTGTGAGCGTGCTTATGTGCGTGCGTGCATGTGTGTGAGTGTGTGTGGGATTTTTAAGTTATAAGAAAGTTGGCTACCAACCAAAGGTTACAGTCATCATCATCATCACCATCATCATTACAGCCCTTCACAAGTCCACTGCTGGACATAGGCCTCCCCCAAAGAATGCCACAAAGCACGGTCCTGAGCCACCTGCATCCATCGACTTCCTGCATATCTTACCAGGTCGTTACTCCATCTAGTGGGGGGACGCCCTACACTTCGCCTGCCGGTACGAGGCTGCCACTCGAGAACCTTTCTTCCCCATCGGTTGTCGGTTCTTCGAGCTATATGGCCGGCCCATTGCCACTTCAGCTTACTAATCCGTTGGGCTATGTCGGTCACTCTAGTTCTACTGCGGATATCCTTATTTCTGAGTTTATCACGCAGAGAAACTCCGAGCATTGCCCTCTCCATAGCTCGCTGAGCGACCTTGAGCTTCCTCATCCGGCCAGCAGTGAAGGACCACGTCTCAGTTCCGTATGTCATCACTGGCAACACGCACTGGGTGTGGTTTTTTTTTGGAGTTTAAATTTAAGGTTACAGTGTGACTGCTTAAATTATTATAAATAAATAATAAATAAAAAGTATTTATTCGCCACAAGACGATACAATGTAAAAATTTAAATAGGCAACTTAATAATGAATTGTGACAAAACGGTCTGTGACTCAGTTGTAACGGGAAACCCATTACTCCGGCTATTCTGCCACAGTCTTTGCGCAGTATCCATACAGGGTGTTAGGCAAGTGATGAAACACACGTATCAGTAATAAATAAAGAAATAAAAATTCAAACAGTAAATTATATGAAAAACCACTTTTATGGTTCATAATAGCTCGTCAATAGGAGGCTGCTACTTAAGACCCTTTTTTCCTGCGAGGAATTAATGGTTCCAAAGGTTGTTGTTTGTTGTGTGTTCACATCAGGTCGGGGTCACCATTTGTGGGATACATGCTAGGCAAATAAAAGTGTCTTCACTCCTCCAAGAAATATAATATATTTTTATCTTTCACACAAGAACAGTTCGAAACACAAGTTGAAGTACGAAAAAAAGTAGCAAATAAAAGAGATGAAGAAGAAATATAAGCATGGATTAGTAAGTATTAAATAAGTGGTAGTATGGAAAGATATTTGAGATAGGAACCCGGGAATAAGTCGTTGTGTTTTAATAGAACCATTATTCCGGCAGCGCGAGCGTAGGGTCTCGCACTGAGGGCGTCTAATTGCAGACTGGCAGTAAAAACGAAAACGCCTGGCCGGCCACGATGGCAGCTCGATCGCGTCAGCGCATAAGCCGTTCACTAAACATACAAAAAAATGACAGAAATTGCATGTCACCACAGGTTCTTGAGTGGCAACTTCCCACCGGTAGGTGAAGTGAAGGACCCCCCCTTCCCCCACTAGAAGGAGTGACGACCTGGTAAGACATGCAGGAAGTCGATGATTGCAGGTGACTCAGGACTATGCTTTGTGGCATTCCTTGGGAGAGGCCTATGTTCAGAAGTGGACTTATGAAAGGATGTAATGATGATGATGACGATAATGATGAATAAATAAATTTACGATTAATGTTATCATGAATAATTATTTATAAGTTTGATGTTTTATAAATACTATTTCAATGTCAATAAATTGCAAATATGGCGATACATAAATTTTAAATTCTGACAGGTATCATGGATGGCTGCTGTACCCTATTTGGTATGCGTACCAGGGGATATTTTTATGGCTTACATGGGAGATAAATTCGGCAGGAAATTAACACTCATTTTCATATCAGCTATGGGTGCCGTAAGTATTTAAATCACATACAAATATAGCTATTTTACGCATTGTTGAAAAAATAAACTATACAAATGTAAAAACCAACGTCAAGGAACTAAAAAATCGATTAATATTAACATGATAGCGTCTTAAGTTATTGCTCAGAGATAGTGTATACAAAAAGTGAAAATTCCTATAAACTTCATTTCCATATGGAACCATCTATACTATGACCTATTTAATGAAACAGAATCATTAGGAAAAAAAGGACATACAGTGAAATTGAGTACCTCCTCCTTTTCAAAGCCGGCTAGACATTATAGACTGATTTACCTATAATTAATTTTGGTAGACACTTATATATAAAGTTACAGCCTAAATACGTCCCACTGCTGGGCACAGGCTCCCCTCATTTCTGAGAAGTTTTAGGGCAAGGAAATGTCCGCCTAGCTGCCCCAATGCGTATTGGCGAACTTCACATGTCTTCGATTTTTTTTCTTATTTCTCAGACATGCAGGTTTCCTCACGATGTTTTCCTTCACCGCCGAGCACGTGTTAAATCAGTACTTAAAATTGGAATTAACAATTTCATCGGTGCCGGCGGGGATCAAACCCGGGTTGCTCGCGTACTGTGAAATTTACAGCGATCGTTAACTTTCTGAGCTACCACGGCACTTATATATGAGACATAATAATATATATATACCATAACATCACATAATATCAATCGGCTAACCTCGGATTTATCATGTTATTCTTCTTCATAAACTCGTAGAAGTCCACTGCTGAACATGTGAATGCGTCTCCATCGTCTTGTTTGGCAGGGAAATTAACGATCACAGTACCAGAGACATCTCCCACCTTTGACACTGCTGTCTGTCTGGGTATTTTAAGTCGTTACGTTGAAAGTTATACCGTAATCTAACGGAAGCCATATAATAAAAATTACACGTGGTAGAGCCATGCTGCAGCTATATTAGTAGTATAGTTGCAGCACGAATGGGTCGGCTCGACTGGGGAAGAACCACGGTCTCATAGAATACCTGCGTAAAATAGCAACTTAACACTGCTGTGTTTCGTATGGTGAGTGTAGAGAACCGGAGACCCTTTATTGGAATAGAGGCAATCCATCTTAGTCACGGGTAACAACGTATCTGCATTTTGATTCGCAAACGAGGATAAATGTAGATGTTTATGGGCCACAGCAACCACTTATCATCAGGTAGACTGTGTGCTCGTTTGTCACCCTATACTATAAAAAAAATCTTTCTACCACTTCCTATAGCCGCCTATTATGACAGCCTTGGGATGGAATGGAGTTATGGATTCTCTTATATCGCCACTAAGTCAGTATAATTAATTATATTAGCTCTCTTTTTTATACATTCGTGATGGGGTAAACGTGGTATATACCACGGGGAGTGCTCCGGGGAATTGTGCGTTTTAATTCCAGCTACTGAATTCCACCATCGTACACTGTAATAGAATTCGAAATTCCATCCTTATTATCTTAATGGTTGGTGATCCACTGCCGTGCGATTTACATGGAATTTTCTGCCTCGCTCGACCACACTGTTGAACTTACTGTCACCAGAGGTAGTGACCGATAAGTCTTAAAGACCTTCAAGAAAAGAGTCTAATCCTTTCTAAAAGACCGGCAATGCACTTGCAATTACTCTGGAGTTGCAGTTGTTTATGACGACGGTGATTACTTATCCTAGTCACTTAGGCGATCCGTATACTAGTTTATCACCTCATCCATAAAAATACTTTAACCAAATTTGTTTCACAGGGTAATTGGATTTTACTACTCCTATCGCTGGAAACTTGGGCACTGGTGTTGGCTAGAGCTCTGGTTGGCGTGACAATGGCTGGAAGCTATGTCACTTGCCCTACATTTACTAAAGAAATCAGCGAAGATAATATGCGAGGTGCTTTGGGCTGTTTAGTAAGTTTAAAATTATTTACCAAAACTTATATAGCCTAATACTGTTGGTTACAGACCTTCTCTTATTTTTGAGAGAGTTTTAGGGCAAAGAAGTGTCCGAGCGCTGTCCCAATGCGACATGTCCTTCATTATCGAATTGCAATTTACAATTTCGTATCGGCGGACTAGTGACTTTTCCTAATTAGATAATTTTACCAGCTGACCCGACAGAGATGGTTTTCGCCTTCACAATTTCAAGCCCACATTCATCAGCAAAATGCTGCTAATCAATGAATTAGCGGCATTGCACTTAAATACGTCTCCACTGAATAAAATATTTCACACTTTCACTAGACAGTGAAAGGGGTTTTATGTTCCGAAATTTTAGGGGCAGTATATTTATTGAAGTATAATACAAATTTTCTGTTAGCTCTGCACTTATACGGTAAAATGGCAATTTAATGCTTCTGAGTTTTTTTATGGTGAGTGAAAATAACCGTAGATCCATTTTACTGGAAATAAGACTTAATCCTCAGGGATGACAACGCATCTGTTTCTTGATTTTTAATCGAAAGCAGATGTTTATGGGTCACAGCATCTACTTACCATCAGGTGACTAAGTTATTAGTTGGTTAAGTAATTCTCTCTATCCTCTATATCTAAAGACCAACGTGTTATTAACAGCGTTTTCAATGTAATGTTGTTTTTTTATTTAGTAACAGTTCGTTATGTATTTCGTAAGAGTATATTCGTGACTTTTGGAACGTTATTTTTGATAAATTGGCATTTAACATATATAATATCATATCCAGACCCACCATCTGATTACCGCAAAATAAAGGTCTAAATTAAAATACGATTGCCATTTCAAATTTAATAGATATATGTGAATGGTCTCTTTCAGATAATTCTATTTCACACAACAGGAAATTTATTTTTATACATAATTGGCGATATATTGAGCTATCGAACGATCTTGTGGGTGTGTCTTGCATTACCAGCATTCCATATTGTAATTTTTATGGCAATGCCAGAATCGCCTTCTTACTTGGTGAAGCGAAAAAATGAAGAGGTAATACGTTCATTATTTTTTTTAATTCTATTTATCTGGTATAAAAGAACTAAATTTATTTGTCTCGTAGTCGTAATTTGTGTAAAGTTTGACGCTGTGAGAGAAAGGAGCTTAATTTTTTGGGTTACTTTTATTTCCTTCAGCTTTCGGCATCAGCTGTTACGGGTACATCTCTCCAGAATCAGTCGGAAATTTGAATAAAGTAACGCAAATATTCAAAGCGACGTAGGTCTAATCACGGAGTACAAACGTAATGCAACGAACGAAAAAAAACAAAATGGCGAATGGAGTTGTATATACATATAACAAATACGTTTTGTTTCACTTTTTGATGTATTATTTATGCGCAAATTAGACTAATGTCAATTTATGAATTGAAATGGTTTATCTTTGGACATTAATTTGTGATTGCATAAGTGCAATCTTGCATTGATTGCAAAAGACTTGTTATTTTGGTACATTTTTGTTAGATTTTTGATTTTAGACGTTTCAATATTTTGTAAATTGATGTTAGACACTTTGATTTTTTAGTAATTGATATATCTTTACTTGCACATTCCAATACAAAAATAACAACCCGAATTCGGGGTTGCGGTTTCTAAAGCTGATGTCTCAAAAGACTTTTTAAATAAATTACTAGCAAAACTGATTTGATCAACCTGTAATTTCAGGAAGCAGCCAGAGTACTTGCTTGGCTTCGTTGTAGAAGAATAAATGATGTCAAGGTACAACAGGAGTTGGACAATATTAAGAAGGAGCAAAAAAATGACGAAGAGAGCAGCAAATTCTTACTAAAGGCGATCTGTAAGTAAAATAATTTGTTTCTTTTGCAATTTAATATTGACTTTATATATGTTTATAAATGTTAATGGCCTTTTTTGATTCTTTATACTAATTTCATAACAGACATGTGCTGTCGATGGTCGCTCAAGGCCGTGTTTGAAAGATAGGATTGCCAATACGGTCCTGGTTTCGAGAGAGTGGAGAACCAGTACTCTTATAGGATGTCAGGTTCAGTACTTTTATAGGATCAGTACTATTACGATGTTATCTTGATTTTCGAAGGTGACAATGCAACTGTAGTATTCTGTGCTCAAGTTGCACACCCATTAACTGCTGCTGTTGGTATCCATAAACTGCTGCTGGCAATACCACTTACCATAAGGTGGTTTGTCTGCTCGTACATCTTCTGTATTCATCGATACATATATATCGTGGAATATTGTGTGTAAATTCCTAAGTGGTAGAGCTATATTAATAAGGTAGTAGCACAAAATGATCGGCTCGACTTGGAAGGAATCATGCTCGTACAGAACGCCAGCCTAAAAGGACTGCTGACAGACACCCTTTTTACTGGAAACCAGTCATTCAATCTAAGTTCTGAGTGACAACGCATCTGCATTTTTGATTATGAATCGAGGATAAACGTAGTATACATTTATCATCAAGTGCACTGGGTGCTCCTTGTCACCCATATTCTATAAAAAATATAAACAAATAAAAGAAGCTCCACGCAGCTTCAACAGTTTCAATAATTATAATAAATTAACAAGCCAACATCGCGACACGGACTAATAAGTGCGGTCCTGAGGTCAACGAGCTCTATTAGTTTGCGCCAAATTCTTTCATTACGTTACTACGTGCTGTTGACATTGAAGTAATATCTACTACCTACGTACTAGAATAGACACCAAGGCGTGTTTGCACCACGTGTAACATCTCAAGGGCTCCTATTCAATGTATTAGTTTGGGCCAGGCGCTGACTACAACGTGACATATTTGAAGTTTAAGATTAATAAGAATGCCTTCATTTGCACTAAGGTGCTGTTAAAATCACTCGAGAAATGAAATGAAAGATCAAGAAGTGACTTTTTGTACTTAATTTCCCTGTACAATCAACAAAACCTCAGAGTAATTATTAGCATAGAAGGAATCCTAAATTAGGAACTTTTCTTGTAGGTATTTACGTATATGCTTTTTACGTGGTACGAAATAAGATATTTTGTTATTCTCACCTTCTTTCTTCTACATGATTGTTGCCATTTTTCCATGCCATAGATACCTTTATTGATGGGCATTTATCGTAACACTAAAAGTTGTCAAAATTCATTCTATGACATAGTGTATTACGTATTTTGATAAATCCAATTCCTACTCGTAATAATTATATATTTCAATGAACGTTAACAGAAGCTTCATTTAAACATCTTAAAACAAAAATATAGTCGGATAATGCAGGTTTCCACAATATCGCGGTAAGTTAACATATTTCGTGTGGCATTACGGATTTTACAGGGAATAATCACAAAATACCATATTTTACGCTGTTTTTCGCATGGTGAATGTTAAGAACCGAAGACCCTTTTTACTGGAAACGAGGCAATCCATCTTAGTCCTCACGGGTGAGAACGCATTTGCATTTTGATTCATTATTGAGGATAAATGTTGATGTCTATGGGCCACAATATCCCCCTTTTTATAGGATAAGGGTGACAAACGAGCACACAGTCCATCTGATGGTAAGTGGTTGCTGCGGCCCATAGACATCTACATCTATTCTCAATTACGTATCAAAATGCAGATCCGTTGTCACCCGTGAGGACTAAGATGTGATGCCTCGTTTCCAGTAAAAAGGGTCTCCGGTTTTCTACACTCACCATACGAAACATTGGTATTCTGTGAGAGCGTGGTCCTTCCCCGGTCGAGCCGACCTATTCGTGCTACAACTATACCTACTACTAATATAGCTGCAGCATGGCTCTACCACGTAAGACGTTAATATAAGGAATGTGTGCTTGTTTGTCACCCTTGTCTTATAAATATATAATAATAACTGTAAACAAATAACCAAGTTATTCTTTAAAATATTTTATTTATTTATGGTTGTCTAATTGACACCAGGATTTGTTTCACGCAACGTACACGAGGGTACTGTTATGATAGTATAAATACCGCGGAACGACCGCGGTCTGGCTCTCATTTCTCGCTCCACCACAACTACAACTACCAATAAATCAATTACGAACCTGTTATTCGTTTTGCCTTCTACTACCTTCACAGTAATCGAGCAACCCAATTTTAACAGTGGTAGAGCCACGCGGCAGCTTTTGATGTCGCACGGATGGGCCGGCTCGAACCGGGGTGGTACCACGACCTCACAGAAAACCAGCGTGAATTAGAGGTTTACTTCTGCGTTTCGTTTGGTTAGTGCAGGTGGCCGGAGGCCCTTTTTACTGGAAATGAGGCATTCCATCTTAGTCCTCACGAGTGACAACGCATCTACATTTTGAATTGTAATAGAGGATAGATGTAGATGTCTATGGGCCGCAGCAACCACTTACCATCACGTGGACAGTGTGCTCGTTTGTCACCCTTATCCTATAAAAAAAACCCGGGTTCGATCCCCGACGGCACCAATGAAATTGTTAATTGCAATTTTAAGTGCTGAAGGTGAAGGAAAACATCGTGAGGAAACCTGCATGTCTGAGAAATAAGAAAAAAATATTTCGAAGACATGTGAAGTTCGCCAACACGCATTGGGGCAACGCGGCGGACATTTCCTTGCCCTAAAACCCTCCCAGAAATGAGAGCAGGCCTGTGCCCAGCAGTTGGACGTAAATAGGCTGCAACTTTACTTTTACTTTATTTTCTACTACAACCGATTAATTAAAGCCTATCAAAATCCGCTGTTGAACATAGGCTTTTTCCATAGGTTTCCTCATATTGGGAAAATTTGCTATAGCTCCTTCTCTTAGGAAATAGGTTGGCAACCCCAATTTTTATATAACTCGAAATAATTCAAATATTATTTCGAGTTATTATCAGGAAGATACTGCTGCCTATCTCTCCTGTTATATTTCCCTCTGTCGCGTTTTGCGATACTCTTATTTCAGATACGAATTAGAATTGAGTTTTAGAGCTTCTAGTTATGAAGTAACAGATTCTCTTACGCTGCTGCTACACGGTGTTATCAAGATGCTGTCTTCATTACATGATATTTACATCATTTTCCGCTAATCTTTACATTAAAATGGGATTAGAATTATAGATAGGATCTAACTCACTGATGTACCGTGTGAATTCCAAGACTTCGTTTTCACTAACTACTCATTTCACTAACTATTACTTTTTATAGTTTGTCATACGAATATTTGTAACGTAATATAAACATCTCTTGATTTCGAAAACAATTCACTTGATCGTTCGAATAATAATAAGTCTAGTTTTATTTTCTTTGTATAGTATAGTAATAATACATGTAATAATGTAATAAAAATAAATAAATAAATAAAAAGGAGTTGTTGCGCTGGGGGCCGCGGGTTCGAATCCCGCACGGAACAAGTATTAGTATGGACTACAAATAATTGCTCCGGGTCTGGATGTTTGTCCTCGTGCAATTTATGTTTGTAAACCACCTCCACGATACGGGAGAAAATCCTAGTGTGGTGGTAACGTTTCTTAAAAAAAGTATATAGACCAAACATGAGCACTTGTCTTGATTGAAACAATCGACATCAATATACTCGAGAGCATTAAGAACGAAACCACTATAGATTAAAGAAGTCATGTTTTGTGAAATAATATCATTCATAATACTACTCACATCCGAATGAAATTTTTCTATAAATTCAGTAGATAGGTGTACGTAAACACTCTCATATTTGGCATAGTATAAATAGACCAAACATGACCACTTGTCATTCAAGCTCTATGCATTTATTTACACACAACATCATTCAATAGGCTTGCCTCTTTTTGTATTATTTTAAAATTAAACTAGAAAAAGCGAGACAAGTATATTGACTCAATTTATATAGAATTGTAGGCTCCTACGCAGTAAGCGTAATGCAGTCTTACAAGGGCGACCGAACCAAGGCTGAGATCTGCCTACAAGGGGTATCACGGATGATGGAATAAATAGCTCTATTCCCTTTAGCACGCTTAGAAAGAGGAAGGTAGCGTGGGCGTGGATGCTCAATGAGAGATTCTCCATTAACATGGGTGCTGGTGGCCTCCCGGGGTATTATATTTCTATTTAAATGCCGTACCACATTTCGGGGGGGGGGGCCTCCGGCCACCTGCACTGACCAAACCAAACACAGAAGTGAAGCTTCTACTTTACGCTGATATTCTGTGAGGTCGTGGTACTTCCTCGGTTCGAGCGAATGTTATTGTCAATCTGAACAACGGTGCTTAATAAACATTATTGTTGTATTCTCTTTTTTCAGTCAAAGATAAAATATTGTTTAGAGCCTTTCGCATTGCGATGATAGCAATACTCGCTAGAGAAGTTTGCGGCGCAATACCAGTATTAAATTTTGCTGGAGAAATCTTTACATATGCATCAGAAGGCAATGCGCTTGTCCTCACACCAAATCAACAGGCAATGCTTCTTGGAGCTGTACAAGTTTTAGGTTCAATGCTCGCGTCAATTGTTGTTGATAGAATTGGAAGAAAGGTAAAATTATTCAACTAATATTTAATTATTGGATATTCTTACAACTTCAATACACGGTTACCTTGTTTTCAATCAAAATCAATCCATTCATTACAGCTTACAAAAGTCCACTGCTGAATAAAGGCTTCCTCCAAAATTTCCTCTTAGGACATACTTTGCCATAGTTGCCACTCTCGGCAGGCGGGTGACGAACAGCATTTTATTTATACTTTTGAATTGTTATCAGGAAGATGCTGCTGCCCATCACATGATGCGGTTTCTCTCTGTCGCCTTTTACAACACCCTCAGGACGATATGGGATAGTGGATATTCTGACACTGCCACTACACAATTCACCATCATCATTACAGCTCTTCACAAGTCCACTGCTGAACATAGGCCTCCCTCAAGGAATGCCAAAAAACATGGTCCTGAGCCACCTGTATCCATCGACTTGCTGCATGGCTTACCAGGTCGTCACTCCATCGAGTGGGGGATCGCCCAACACTTCGTCCGCCGGTACGAGCCTGCCACTCGAGAATCCTTTTTCCCCATCGGTTTTCGGTACTTCGAGCTATATTGCCAGCCCATTGCCACTTCAGCTTACTAATCCTTTGGGTTATGTCGGTAACTCTGGTTCTACTGCGGATATCCTCATTTCTAAGATAAAAACGCAGAGAAATGCCGAGCATAGCTCTATCCATAGCTCGCTGAGCGACATTGAGCTTCCTCTACTCCCTACGACTAGCAGCGAGGACCACATTTCAGTCCCATAGGTCATCACTAGCCTTACGCACTGGTTGTACAGTCTAGTTTTTAAGTTTTAAAGTAGACCTGACGAGAAGATATGCCTTAATTTCCCGAACGCTGCACAGCCGAGTTGAATTCGACGATTGACCTCTCGGTCCAAGTTGGACTTACCTGATCGGACTATTTGTCCTAGGTTAATATACTCATCAACAACTTCGAGGTTAGTATCCCCAACAACTACCGGCATAGGTGTGACATGGACGTTATACATGACTTTTGTTTTGTCCATGTTCATCTTCAGACCTATTCCTTAGGAGGCGCTATTGAGGTCATTGAGCATAGTGTTTAGGTCCTCCAGCGATTCTGCCGTAAGGTCTATATCGTCGGCAAATCGAAGGTAAGTGATGTACTCTGCAGTAGCTTGAGAACGTCTTCCAATGCAGCGGTGAAGAGTTTCAGGGGTATAACGTCACCCTGTCTTACACATTTCTGCAGTTGGATAGGTTTCGTACTCTGGTTCTGTACTCGGATAGCCATTGTAGCCCTACTGTATAAACACTTCAGCACTTCTATATACGGACAGTCAACTTAGCACCGCTGAAGGGACTGCAGCACCGTCCAAATTTCGACGGAATCGACATACGCCAGGCATAGTGGCAAATTGTACTCCTCGGACTTCTGTACAATTTGTAGAAGGGTATATATGTGGTCTATGGTGTTAAAGCCTTTTCGGAAACCAGCTTGTTCGGGAGGCTGAAGACGTCAAGTCTGCGTGCGAGACGATTCGTAATGACTCTCGAAAATATCACGTAGACGCGGCTCAGAAGGGAAATCGGTCTGTAGTTCTACAAGAGAGCATTGTTGCCTTTCTTGAAGAACAAGACCACCGCACTTCTGCTCCACGCCTCCGGTGTAGTTCTACCATGGAAAACGGAATTAAAGAGCTTCTGAAGGACTTTAAGTACCGGTTTTCCACCCGCTTTCAGAAGGTCCGCTATAATTGCATCCTTAGCCTTGCCATTTTTAAGGTGCTGAAGAGCCATTCTAATCTCGTTCAGACTGACGTCCGGAATATCATCGGAATAGTGTCGGATAAGACTTGCTTTTTGATCATTACTCACACTTGCAACGATGACGTGTACAGCTGCCCGTAGAACCACTCAATCTCACTTAAAATCTCAGGTGTCCCGGAAACGACGCTGCCTCACTCGGTCTTCAGCTTTGACAGTTGGCTCTTTCTGACAGACAGACCTCTGACAAAGACTTTGGAGCCTTGATTCCGCTCGATCGCTTCTTCAATACGTGCTATATTGAAGTTTTGTAAGTCCCTCGCATTTGGAAATCCATCTGTTCAGTTGCCTGTACACTGTCAAATCAACTGAAGACTTCATTTCCCGTCTAACAGTCATGAGATTAAGAGTGTGATTGGAGAGTTTTTATGTTCTTCTGCGACGCATCTTGCATAACTTAGCTCCAACTGCATGGACAGTTTCCACGAATTTGTCATTCATAGGTCATACTCATCAGGTTCATTGCGCCTTTAAACATTCGGTGATTGCTACCAGTTTTCATCCTCGCGATCACTAAGACATTACCGAACAGTTGTCGTCTGGTCGTCATAACGAAGTCAATCTCATTTTTTGTCGAACCGCCGGTGCTCGACCAGTTCTACTTCCTGTGGGGCCGCTTCTGGAAAAAAAAGTTCATCATAAAGAGTCCATCCTTTTCTCCATGAAATCGGCCAGCTGCTGACCCCTGGAATTCCGATGCGCTATTCCAAATGGCCCTATCTTCATCTCATTGTTCTCTTTTGTGCATAGTTTTACGTTGAATTCTCCCATTAACTCCGTATAGTGGGTTTTGGAGGAGTGCATGGCTCTAGATATAACCTCATACATTTCCTCCACATCCTCATCGAAATGTACAGAGCTTAGTGCGTAAACCTGTATGACCTTCAGCGAATTCCGTTTGGTGATTCTAATTAGAAATTACGCAACCCTTGTCGACACACTCTCAATCTTTGTTATGCTGCACAATGACATTGTATTATTAATTCGATTTTTTGTGCTGTGCTTTATAGGACGGGGTATGGGATTTACAAATTTTAATAACGACAATAAACATCTTATATAAAGTGGAAACTGAACAAGAACTCTTAGGATTAACTTAAAGACGCTTGTCTATGTTAGCATTGCTGCACGTATCATCATCTTCTACTATTTCTTTTTCATCATCCCGTAGAGGTTCAAAACTAGACATGAGGTAGGCATATTAAGTTGCAGGGAGCGTTTGCTTTAATGGCTGACTGTGGGATTGGCTATTAACATTGAATTTTCTTACGCCGCCACCACACGGCAAGCTTAATATAGAAGGTTGTTAACAAAAATATTATTTAATTGAGTTTTAGCTCGTTTTGTGATATACGAGTATGTTTTTTTTTTATTAGAACTGTAATTAATATATTTTCAGTTACTACTGGCAACCACTTCATTAGTCTCAGGATTAAGTATGTGCGCCCTAGCATCATGGTTTGTTGCAAGATTGTATGGAGCTTACACACCCAGTTGGCTTCCTATTGTAACGCTTTGCCTGTGCATCTTCTGTGATTCAGCGGGACTTCAACCAGTGTCTGTCGTACTTACGGGAGAAATATTTTCATTCAAGGTAATTTTACTTTTTAACGATTCAAGAATTCATTTTTCAATGTGAATAATTAACACCACTTAAATGTGAGTTCATGTGTTAATTTACTGTTATTTTACGAATTTGATGGTACGTGATTCCCCCGCTCGAATCGACCCATTACCACATGAACTCACGTTTTAGTGGTGTGAATTATTGAATAACAGTAGAATCCTTCTGTGTCTCATGTGGTGGGTAATTTAAACAAAAATCCTTTTTAATTGTATTAAAGCATTCTATCTATAACCTCAAGGGTGACAGCGTAACTGCAATTCTATTTGCCACAGCATTCACTTACTATCAAGTAGAATGTATGCTCGTATTTCACCTTTAATACAATAAAAATATATGTAATGTAGTGACAGTATTTTAAGTATGATCAAGATGGCTAGGTGACAGGGTTCCTTTTCTGCTAAGGAGTCCGCCTTTTTCTACTGCCAAATAGAACTGCTTGCACTGCTAATGCTGTGATTTGGTCAGAATTGTATAGAAAACCAGCATAATTACAGGCATTGGGCAGCCTTATTCGTCTAAAGTTGGCTACAGGTATGCAATAGACACTTACCATCAGGTTTATTAGTCACTTCAATTATATAAAAAATACGTTTTAAAGATTTTCGATGGTATTCGTTTAGCGAAAACTTTAATAAAGTTTTGCTACACTGAGGTCTAAGGATATCAGCCTTTTCAGAAAATAATAACCTCAACTGTAAGTTTTGCAGCCTACCGAATAACGTACAAAGCTCAGGGGATCAACAAATGGCTATATGGCTGCCTCGTTGGTCTTGTGGTCGTTAACGCAATTGCAGATTACCCCTGTGTCTCGAAAAGTACGTCAAGCCGTCGGAGCTGCGCCTTATCTCTCTCCGTTTGTGTCGGAATACCGTCACATCGGACTATGAGATTAAGAAAATGAAGAGTACACCTGTCATTGCGTATACTCGGAGATTGCTTGTATTCATTTAGACTGGCCGCCATAACCGAAATTCGCTCTGGAGGACAATACATTTTATTTTTCAAAAATACCAAACTACATCCATCAAAACCATTGATGGGCAATTTCACCAGTTCCACGCTTACTAACCCTAGACAGACGACTAGCGTGCTATGAATGGGTACTTAATTCTTACAAATCGTGTCAGTTTATTTTTTTAATTTTATTAATCATTTATTTATTATATGAGAGAGGGCAAACGAGCATACGGCTCATCCGATGGTAAGTGACAATAGGGCAATAGCAGGTGCGTTGCCAGCCTTTTAAAAAGGAGTAAGCTCTTTTCTTGAAGGTCGCTAAGTCGTATCGGTCCGGAAAAATCGCCGGTGGTAAATTATTCCACCGTGAGGTCATACGCTGAAGAAAACTTGTACTGAAACGTACAGGGGTGGACAGCCAAACATCGAGATGGTGTGGAGATTTGTATCAGTGAGAACATTTTTCGTAAAGCCTATCTCCATATTTATTCATCATTAATTACAGCCAAAAGTCCTCAGCTGAACATAAGCTCCATCCCATAGATTGCCTAATAGAGCGGATTTTTTCATCATTGCCATGATGGATCGGTAGGTTGAACACAGCAGTTGCTTACTAGCAGAAGAATGCTGATGCCTATCTCCTGTTTCAGTTTTCTTCTGTCACCTCTTACGCCGTTACGAGATGTTATGGCATAATTAATATTCGACGCCGCTACTAGATAGCAATCCCCTTATTATATAGGCATATCTATGTAATTATATAGTATGTTGCTGGAGAGCAGAAGACTCAAAAAGGCTAGAAAAGAATAGAGATACTTAGACGTATTGGATACGGTCCATCTGGTTGTACGGCTCGCCAAGGTCATGCATAATGCAGAATGTAAAACGACAATGAGTATGCTTGACGTACGTTAACTTCAAATAATGAATTATTATTATTAACGTACATGAAGTTTAGCTATTGTTGCTTTTCATCGTGCATTGTGCATGACCTTTGCGGGAAGTACAAGAAGATGAACCGCGTGTAGGCGCTTTTGTCAACATGTGTATTGTATATGTCAATTTATGTATTTCATATTTTGAAATAAACACCTGTCATATTTGAATTTTTAGTTCCGTGGATCAGTGCTCGCTGTTTCTATGGCTACAGCATCGTTTGCGGACTTCCTGCAGATGTTATTCTTCAAGCCCCTGGCCAAATCAATTGGAATTTACGTGGCCTTCTATTTCTTCGGAGGAGTTTGTTTAATCACAGTGTTGTACGTGATTTTTGCGGTCCCAGAAACGAAATCAAGGACATTAGAGGAAATTTACGAAGACTTAAAAACAAAAAAGGAAAAGTCAAATGCAGTTTTAAAAAATAGTAAGGATGTAACAGGCGACATTAATAACTAAAGATAACTACAGAAAAACTGATATAAAATATAATGTTTGATAAAATTGTGCACACCGACAATACGTTTAGGTCTTGCCTTATTCTATAAAGTAAATGAAAATAAGTATTAAAGTACTCTTATTGTTTGAAACAGACTTTTATTATGCACTTCAATTAAACTTTAGCAAATTTAAATTTAAATATATTATATTAATAATACACCTATTACTTCATCTCACTACAACCAGGGAGATAATGCTTAAAGTCCCCCATTCGGGCGACCTTTTGTCAAGGTAGAAACAATAAAGCGTATATCAACAAATATATTAAACAGTTTATAAGGATTTGGCAGATAGGAGGTTTGCCGTTTCCCATGCTTTACACCACCTATTGTCACGAGGGAACCGAGGTGTTTGATATCCCGATGTCATAGTTAGCCCGACTACCTTCAGTTTTTGAATATTAATTTTTGGTCCGATCTACACAGAACAAACTTACAGTATAACATGATCCTAAGCAGACGTTAGTACCCATCCATCTTCTCTATTGAAATTAGTATGTTCTTTAACTCCAGTAGCCTCTTGAATAATCCTTGGTAAAAGCGGTGTTCTTTTGTGATGATTTATGGTCAATAAAATCTAATGTGAACATGTTCAAGATCGACCGCGGGGTCAATCTTGAAAATGTTCACAGACTGCAGACTTCCCAGAGCGTCGGTGCTTCGCGTCAGCTATGTGTTCATTTACGCGGGTTTTTGTAGATATTTTTATTGATCCTATGTAAGAGAAGCCACGTTCACAATCAAGCTTCTACACTTTTGCCTCTTGTAGGGATATTACACTTGATGGATGGTAAAAACTGACTAATCTTTTTCGGCGACTTGTAATAGGTTTTAATGGAAAATCGCTTCTAGATGTAGACAATTTTGTCTGTGAGTGACTCCTATGACGTATGGTAGTACAGCAGGCACAAGCTCGACTGTGGCCGGCTTTACTCGGTCATTGTGACGTAGACGCGGGACCCGAAGCTTGTTGTTTTGCAATACTTGCTTGACGTGCTAAAGCTTGGTAGCCAGATGTTTTCTGTTACAAATCTCTTATGCTCCCTGAAACAAATATTTTCGCTCGGTAGCTAACTGTCATGGCTAGTGGTGAAATTGAACATTTAAATATCAGCAGGTGTGGTTTTTTTCCCTATAAACAGTGTGACTAATAGTGTTACCAAGATTTCAGATTACAAAAACATTTAAAAAACTATAGAATTATTTGCCTCTATCTCCGTTGTGAATTGAATTTTAGAGTTGATGAAATTGTGGTGGTCTAAAAATGCAGTTATTATGTCACATGGTAAAATTTTAAAAGTTTTGATTACGTACCAGTTGTAGAATCTTAGATTTATAGGAGCAGTAAGAGGGACTTTATTCTCAAAGTTCTCTTTGAATATTTCGGCGACTGTGGGAGATATGGTGTGGTGAGCCCATCTCCACACCATTTACTTGCTTATAGAACTCCTCCTTCCACAACAGATAGTCAGATATGAGGCTGTGTTTGAATAATACTGCATATTCTGAAGCATTGACAACATTCCAAGACTAAGAAGCTAGGAGATAACAATAACTTCTAGCTTCTTAGTTACAATTGAGATATTACCTATTAGTTTTATTATTAATTAGATAGATTGATTACCTTTGTGTGTGCTTTGGTGTGTTATCTCAGTGGTATTTTTGCCAAGTGTTGAGCCAACTTATAAGTTGGGGAATCGATCAGGCTCACTATGGAATATACTGTAGCGTTTGTTTTGTGTATTTTCGGAAACATATAGAACCTAGATTGTTTGGTGAACCGTGGTATTATCTAATTTAAGTCGAGATTTAATTTTTTGGAGTAATTCTTTATTAGATTGCTAGTTGTTTTAAGCACATTGGTTGTAGTATCTGTTTTGACCTTTTTGTACGTAATTTTGTCCGCTGAAAGTTGTTATATTTTATAATTATAATCTTACGTGTCCATTATTTTTTCCATTAATCTATTTCCTTTAACCGCGTGGAGAATCGTGAGCTCTTGTTTGTTGCGTAAGTTATTTTATTCAATGCTATAAATTCATCTTTTGGGAAGATTTGGTCTCGGCACTGAACTCCAAAGTATCAAAGACGAAATATCTTGAAGAATGACATTCAAATTTTAAAATTCTTAAGCAATCCGTGTACTCCCTAATGCCTGAAATGGTTTCAGTATTTGATTTTTTCTCACGATCGTAACCTAAGATCCTCCGAGGGTTCTTCGACTTCGTCGTTTCACGATCGTAACTTAAGATCCTCCGAGAGATCTTGTGTTTTCCTCACCGTACCAAATTTATGTCTCAGTCCTTTGTCGCTGAGGCCGAAATTTTTTGCAATAAATTACCTCCACTTAGTAGGAAACCGACTTCTATTGCTGTCTTTAAGAGAATGTTGTCTGATCTCTAAATATACATATCTGCATTTACACGTATGGTATGTATGTTTTTATATTTATATTCACGTATTGAGTTTCTCTGCTTAGCTCGTGGTTGACTGGTAAGGAACGCCTGAAGGCATTAAGTCCGTCCATTGTACAATTTCATTGCAATATATAGATTTTTAAATAAATAAAAATAAAAGCGGTTATTATCATACTAAGGAATTTATGGATGTTAATTCCCTATATATAGTAGCGGATAAGAATACCCACAACCCCGTATATTTCCGTGGGTGACGTAAGAGGCGACAGAGGAAAATTGAGACAAAAGATGCGCAGCAGCATCTTTATGATAACAGCAAATAATTATGATAAAATAAACTGCGGTTGACAACCCGCTCTCCAAGCGTGGCAACTATGGCAATATACCCCCAATGACTAGAGTACCAAAAAGACGACTCCCAATCCCCAGCGGCCCCGCTATTCCTGGCAATGGTGGCAACCATAGTAACAGCGGGGCTTGGGGTGCTAAGAATCACTGGTGAAGAAGACGCACTCATCCTGAGGACTGACGAGAAGATCCTGGAACTGGAAGAAGAGATAGACAAGTTACGCTGGCATATTTAGGACTATCCGAGGTCCGAAAAGAGGGGGAGGACACGGTAATCCTCGAATCCAGCAAATTACAACAACCAAAGAGGTGTCGGATTTAGCGTCCACACGTTACACGTCAGAAAAAGCCTACTGTCAAAGCTGAAGACCGAGTGTCAGCATCGTTACCGGGGAACCTAGAATTTTGAGTGTGATTGAGAGGTTCTATGGACAGCTATACACATCATCGTTGGAGCCGCATGCAAGTGTGAGTAACTATCCAAGAGCGAGTCTTATCCGAAACTATTCTGATGATATCTCGGACGTCTGTCCAAGCGAGATGAGAATATCTCTTCAGCACCTTATAAATGGCAAGTCCCCGGGTGAGGTTGGAATTACAGCAGAGCTTCTGAAAGTAGGTGGAAAAACAATACTTGATATATAAAACCGGTACTTGAAGTCCTTCAGAAGCTCTTTGATTCCCTCCTCCATGGTGGTGATACTCCGGAGGCGTGAAGCAGAAGTGCGGTAGACTTGTTCGTCAAGATATGCGACAACGCTCTCGTGAAGAACTACATAACGATTTCCCTTTTGAGCTGCGTCTACATGCTGTTTTTGAGAGTCTTTAGTAATCGACCCGCTTGTAGACTCGATGACTTCCAGCCTCCCGAACAAGCCGGTTTCAGAAAAGGCTTTAGTACCGTATACCCTTCGGCAAATTGTACAGAATACCGAGGAGTAAAATCCGCCACTATGTTTTGCGTATGTGGACTATGAAAAAGTTTTTGATTCTGCCGAAATTTGTGCGGTGCTGCAGTCCCTTCAGCGGTACCAAGTTGACTATCAGTATATCGAAGTACTATACAAGTACAGAACCAGAGTACAAAACCTATCCAAATGCAGAGAGGTGTAAGACAGGGTGACGTTATATCCCCAAAACTCTTCACCACTGCACTGGTAGACATTTACAAGCTACTGTAAGAAAGGATACGGTATTAACATTAATGGTGAGTACATCAGTCACCTTCAATTTGCTGACAATATAGTCTTTATGGCAGAACCGCTGGAAGATCTAAGCACTATACTTCATGATTTCGTTACTCCGAACGAATAGGTCTTAAGATAAACATGGATAAAATAAAGATCACGGGTAACGTCCATGTCACACGTATACTGGTAGTACTTGGGAGCACTAAGCTCGAATACGTTGACGAGTATGTTTACCTGGGACAAATCCGGTTAGGTAAGTCTAACTTCGACCAAGAGGTCAATCGACGGATTCAACTCGGCTGGGCAGCGTTCGGGAAATTACGACACCTCTTCTCGGCAAGTATACCTCAAAACTTGAAGACGAGAGTATACAAACAATGGTTTTTGCCAGTGAAAACTTATGGATCTGAAACGTGGTATTTCACTGCAGGCCGTATGAGGAAGCTCAAGATCGCTCAGTGAATTATGGAGAGGGCTATGCTTAACGTGACAATTTTTTTTTGTCAAAGCGGGACGTCTCTTACGGAGTTATGGTAAATAAAAGTTTTTGGTGGTTTACAAGTTTTTTTTTGTTATGGAAGGTAATAACAATAACAAAAAATGATCAAAGCACTTAGTACAAAATAATTAAGTAAGTTGCCCTAGTAGTGGCGTGACTTCTATATAGTATTTTTGTATTTGTCGTCTGAAAAAATTAGTTTTAAAACATCTGGTCTGCTTTTTAGGTACATATGGAGCTCAGTACAGGATTTATTTATATTGATTTTTGTAATTTAATTTTTTTTATAGGATAAGGTGACAAACGAGCACACAGTCCACCTGATGGTAAGTAGTTGCTGTGGCCCTTAGACATCTACATATATCTTCGTTTGCGAATCAAAATACAAGTGCGTTGTCACCTGTGAGGGCTAAGCTGGAATGCCTCTTTTCCAGTAAAAATGGTCTCCGGTTCTTCACACTCACCATATGAAACATAGCAGTGTTAAGCTGCTATTTTACGCTGGTATGCTGAGAGAGCGTGGTCCTTACCCGGTCGAGCTGACCCATTCGTGCTACAGCTATTCTACGAATATAGCTGCAGCATGGCTCTACCACGTACAAAAAATGGCTTTCACTACTGCTACACTTAAC